GTTCTAAGGAAGCTTTATTCTGATAAAAGCTAGACCTGAGGATACGGCCTAGAGGTGTGTCCATGAAAAGCTTGCAGATAGTTGACATAGTGCCAGACCTCCCCTGTGCCCTGTGGAGGCAGAGCCTAAGACTTAAACAACACACAGGGGAGAACATAGCAAAAATTTCAAAGGGCTTCAGCAAAGACTTACAGAGTGCATGCCAGTTTTCTGCTCCCAGACCTGCCCATTGGGTAAGAAGACAGAATTGAGAAGGTAGTAGGAAATATTTCTTTGGGCTTTGCCCTTCTGAGAAGAGTGTAAATTCTCTCCATTCAGTGGAAATATGAGTGGGGAATAAATGGCTAGTGACTAGTTAGGTAAAACAGAGACTAGAACCCAGGAAATTAATAGTCTGAAAGGGCCATGTTTCTCTGTTGACATGAAAAGACATTTTTCGTTAAGTCTGCAAATTTAAACCAGACCTGAATTAACATATTTCCTAAGGCAAGTGATATTTTCTTTATGCAAGTCAGATTTAGTCAAAGGATTGTTATAAGGTACAGAATTATAGGGTACGTAAGTCTGATAGATAGAAAGGATTATTACAAGGTATAGAATTATAGGATGATGAAAGTTGGAAGGGACCTTAGAGTTCATTTGTCAGCCTTTTCATTTCTAGGATGAGGCAACAGAGCCCAGAGGGTTTAAGTGACTTAAGAGGACCATTTGCCAACCTAGTTACTGACTGCCAGGAATAGACCAAGGTCTTATAATTCCTTAGTCACTGCCCCCTGTACCCAGTTGCTCTGTATTTAGACATAAGGGAAAGTAGGCTTACATTAAACGAAATTTGGAAACTCCATCAAACTTAAGAACTTTTAAGCTAATCTCACAAGATATGTCCATGAAGTGAATATATGAAACAATTGTAGGATCTAAAGGCTTGAAGGGTAGGGAAGGTTCTAAACTTAAGGCACTTGAGTTCAAATCCTGGCTGTGCCAGTTACGAGTAGTTTGACTTTGACAAGTTGCCTAGCCTTGCTGAGCCTCCGTATCTTAATTAATATAATAGACACAATAATAGCACCCACCTAGAAGATGATTATGAGGCTCAGATGAGAAGAATGTATATGAAGATGTTGTGTTTTGCATAAGTGAGTTCTTAGCACTTACAGGCACTAGTAACTATTATCTGTCATCATTTTACCTCTGAGAGATATTTAAGTCTTGACTGTGAAGCCAACTCTTAGCTTAAGATTTTAGCTAGCTCAAGTTACTACTTTGTCCTCAACCTCCCTTCCTTAGGTCCCCCAGAGTGGGAGCTACCTGACCACCTTTGGTTGTCTCACCCCCTTAGGCAGTGCTCTGTTACTATCTTGTTCATTTCAAATGTTTCTCAGTGAACTCCTCTGTTCCCATCCTAAATCAGGTCCTAATCCTCACAGGCCTGGATTATTATTGGGGCCTCACCGCTTCTCTGTCTGACTACAGTTTCCTTTCCTCCAGTCTGTCTGTGTTGCCACCAGACTGATTTTCCCGAGACACTGTTTTTACCCTGTGTCCTTCTACCTTGGAATCTGGACTGATTTCACTGTCCACAACCTCAAGGCCTAGCTCCCCTGCCTGACCTTCAGGTCCCTGTAGAACATCAATGTCCAATAGAAATATAATTTCAGCCTCAGCCACACACGTAACTTAAAATATTCTAGTTACCACACTGAAAAGTAACAGGTGAAACTATTTTTACTAATATATTTAACTGAGAATATCCAAAACAGTATTATTTCAACCTTTAGTCAATAAAAAAGTGAGTGAGATTTTTTTTGGTCTTTTTCTTTTTTATTGGTACCAGGAATCGAACTCACGACTGCCTACTTCCAAGGCAGGTGCTTATGCCGCTGAGCTAAATCCCCAACCCGTGAGTGAGATATTTTACATTTTTTTTCTTTGAGGTAGTCTACATCCTCAATATGTTATGGGTGGACCTGGGAGGTAGCTCAGTGGTAGAACACTTTTCTAGTACGTACAAGGTCCTGGGTTCCATCCCAAGCAAGACCAAAGAATGAAAGGAATAACTTCCACATGTATTCTACATTTAGCTCACATCTTGATTCAGACTAGCCACGTTTCAAGTGCTCAATAGCCACATGTGACTCAGAAATACTATTTCAGACAGTTTAGTTCTAGAGTGTGATTTGTCACTGCCACAAACACATATACCTCTCACTTCTTCCTAGTTTATTAAAATGAAAAAGGGAAGTGGGTGTGGTGGCCCATTCCTATAATACCAGCACCCCAGGAGGCTGAAGCACGAAGATTCCAAATTTGAGCAAAGTTGGGCAACTTAGTGACTTAGTAAGACCTTATCTCAAAATTAAAAAAAAAAAAAAATGAAAGATGGCTGGGGTGCATGTTAAAGGACCTGGGTCAATCCTCTACCCTGCAAGAAGGCAGGGAGATAGCGAGTGGGGAGGCAGGGAGGAAGGAAGGTCAAAACAGGGTTGGTATTGTTGTGTCTATTTTTATAGGGTTATCTTATGCCACCGTGAAGTGTGAAAGTACTTTGTAAGCTCTAGTTCTCCAAGAAGGTGTGGAAATTATTATCAGGAATAAAGGTTTTACTGACATGAGAGTAGGGTATCTTTGAAGTAAAATATTTTGAAAGAAGATTTTTGAGATGGCAAATCAGAGGTGGAGATGTAGCTCAGTGGACGTGAGTAGTTAGCACGTGAAAGGCCAAATTAGTTGTCTTTGAATTCATTTGTGTTAAAAATTAATTTCAAGCAATGAATGGCCATATGTGTCCTTTTACCTGCTCTTTATAATGGTCTTTGTGGAAGAAATTTTTCACATTAATAAAGTTCTCATTGCAATTAAACTGTGGGACTTTTTTCCTATAGCATTTTGAAAACAGAGAGAAGCATTTAGTTTTTATCTTGAAATAGGAGCTGGAATGCTACTAAAAAATTGCATGGATTTTGGTAGTAAATGTAGCTCACGTACTATACAGTACTGAGGTAGGAACAGCATTACGAATTGGGACTAACCAAAACACAGTGTCAGAGATTCAGCTGTTGAACTATTTATAAAATGCTTTGATTGTACATTATAAAGGACATTACTTGAAGTACTGATGAGTTATAAAGTAACACCCAAATCTTTTGCCAGCCCTTTACCAATCAAATAGTCTGCTCCTTTTTCTTTAGTCATACCTGAATTATTCCATGGGCCTTCCAGCAGTCCAATACTTAATATAATATAAATGTAAATTTACTGTGTGGAAATCAGATTGCTATGTGAAGTGACTTCAAAAAAGTCACTTCAACTTTGCAAAGTGGCCTCTGCGTGAAGATCTGACCGCTCATAGGTTTGCCCAGGTCGAATACCCCAACCTAGTACATGACCTGTTCTCCCCACTCATCCCTTTAATTAGCTAAATCCTTATGACTCCACCTCTTGAAATACTTCTTTAATCTGCCACCTCCTGTCTGTCCTCGCTGCTCTAACTCAGGCTTTCATCACTGTTCTCATGAGCTATTGCAACAGTCTCCAAACCAGTTTCCCCACCTGGGAGCTTCGTCCTCTCCTCCACCCCTCAATTTAGCCTCGCCTCCCAGCAGAACGATCTTGCTAAAATGCAGCTCTGATCACGCCACTCCCCTAATTCAAAACACCAAGTTCATCCCAAGACTGACAGATAATAATCCAAACTACTGAGCATGATGTTCAAAGTGCTTTACAGTCAAAGCACAAATTGTCTTATCTGCCTTTCCTCCTGTCATGTGCCCAGCGCAACGATAATCAAATTAACTTGTGGTTCTCCAATAAATCCTATCCTTTTGTGAACTCTTTGTTTTCTTCCTTTCCATGATCCCCTTCACTCCTCACATTAGTGGGTCTTGTGATCTTCAGGCATCTTCAAATGCGCCATCTTGTTCATTCAGCCTCCATATACTCATGGTGCTTTGGGAGGGCATGAAGCCGGAAGAGTGCTGTAGCCTTTGGCTACCCCGAAATTTGAGCCATTTGGTTTGTCTCTGTGTGACTTGTTCCTGCTTTCTTCCTCCAGCTGTACTGGCCTGTTGGGCATCACTTCAGCATTCAGCATATCACCCCGCTGTTTTTGGGTTTACTGAGACACAGGTGGCTGTTTTGTCCCCGATGTTGCCTAGCTATGCTATCTGCCTTCACCCTTGCTGGCCCACTCGTCTGTGACATACTCATAGCTGCCATATCCTTTCGGCTTTTCTTCTTGGCATTTTGTGCTGCTCTGGTTTCATAGCCATCACTGAACACTCGGCAGGATCTTTGCCTTCCTTCTCTTCTACAACCCAATTGATCACAGTATGTTGGCTGTTGACTTTGGGTCTTTGGTTCTTTGCTGCTATTCATAGCTACTGGGGACACCTAGAGAATGCTCTCTCTTTGCCAAAGGATTGTTTCATTTTTTTTTTTCTCCTCTTATTCTAGACTTAAGACTTTCTCAATGCTTGGTAGTGCCAGAAGCATTGTCTCCAAATAAGCATGGCTGTCTTCCTATAGTTTCCCTCTCTTTTCATTTAAATGGAAAATGTTGTTTGGGAAAAAGAATCTTAGAAAAATTCACAGAAATCAGACACTTGAAAGCCAAGTTTGCCCTATGGAGGACAATGCATTTAAAAAGGAACTCTTCCTTGCTCTCCCCTTCCCCAAGCCCACCTTCAGTGTCAAGCTGAGTAACTGAGGTGTTTTGGTAGATTTGGTTGAGCCTGAATAGAACTCTTAAGTCAAAGCTTTCCTGCCACAATGAATGCCATGGATTGTTTGCTTGAATTCTTTGCTCTTGATCATTAAAGCTAGCTGATCTTTCTGAAACTGATCCTTGCTTTAGCTCTGAGATAGTCAAGGTGCAGAACTGAATTATTTTAAAGATCAGTTAATTTGTCAAGCAGACAAATAGTTTCTGTTTAGTGCTTGTTTGCATTTTATATATTGTTGTTGTATAATCAAGAATTTCTTTGTAAATGTTTGGTTTTCAGGCTGGTTGGAAGGAAAATCACGCAACATTCATGAGCGAACTAAAAAATCTTCAGGCTTCTGGACTGACTACTCTTGGTCAGGCTCTAAGATCTTCATTTGATTTGTTAAATCTCAATAGATTAATATCTGGAATAGACAATTATGGACAGGTAAAAAATTTTTGAGTGAGTACAGCTAATTTCCTTTGGTGACTTGGGGTAAGAATTCAAAATTGGGCATGGTTACCACGATTTTCGCTACTTTTGATATACTCTGAAGAGGTTCATGGCCAGGGATATAGCTCAGCAGCACAACACCTGCGTGACAAGCACAAGGTCATGAATTCGATTTCTGGTACCAAAAAAGTGAGAGAGAGAGAGAGAGAGAGAGAGAGAGAGAGAGAGAGAGAGAATTTTTAGATACATAATTTTTAAAAGCCTCCTTTTGATTCTTGTATATAGTTTAATGTTAAAATTGCCTGCCACCAGATCATCAGATATGAGAATGGGGCTGAGTAAATTGCTGAGAAATACTGGAAGAACACAGTTGAAGAAAATCTTTCTGTGTCAACTCTTTGCCCCTCCCACTGTCATGCAAAGGCTATAGAGTAAAAGGAAGCCAGAAAAGCAATTGCTGCTGCCACCATTGTCCTTATCTACTTAAAAACTCTGCTTCTGATCTCCAGAGTCACTCGTCAGGTTGCAGGGTTTGTCACTAGTGTCCCCGATCTGTGTTAGGATTCTGACTCAGGTGAATGGATGCATGGTTGTGGATGTTACTGCCAGTATAATCACTTTAATATCATTTTGTCATTACTTGGAAAGCTGAGAGATAAAAGTATTGTGAATATTATGGCTTGAGGAGTTCTTGAAATATAAGAATTTCTCAGTTTATAGAAGGGTTACCTCTTTCAAGATTATGTTGATGCCTATTCATTTCAGTCCCTAATCTTTTTCTCTTTATATATCTAGGCAGATTTTAACATTTACTGGGGAGATCATTAAGGCAAATGTAAAAGCTTAAATACAATTTGATTGCACAACTCTAATTCTTTTTACATGTGTTTTAGGGGAGAAATCCATTTTTTTTAGAACCATCTATTTTAATTACCATCACAGATGGAAACAAGTTAACAAGTACTGCTAGTGTTCAAGAAGAGGTGAGATTTTATTTTTTTTAATTTCACGTAAATGGCAGAGAATATGCAGCTATTTCTGTGGGAAGCATGTATTTCCAGTTAAGAATAAAGTTTAGACAACATGCTATCTTGGGAATCCTTGAAAGATTGCTTAATTTTATTGAGTTCCATGAGAGAAAAGTGAGCCTTTTAACTCTTCCTTCGTTTCTATCTGGGTTGTTATGATGAACCTTTTCAAATTTTGCCTTACCAGCTTCATCTTCCTTTGAATTCTCCTCTGCCTGGAAGTGAACTAACCAAAGAACCTTTTCGTTGGGATCAAAGGTTATTTGCCCTGGTGTTGCGTTTGCCTGGAGTGGCTTGTACAGAACCAGAGCAGCTAGGGAGTGTACCAACTGATGAATCAGCCATCACACAAATGTGTGAAGTCACAGGAGGTATTGGAAAAATTTCATATTACTAAAGGAAGAATTTATGGCAGAAGTATGTAGTTTTCATTAAAGGCCACGTCTAGACTGCTTGTTTTCCTTTAAAATCTTTTAACTCTAATGCATAATCTCATTATTGATACTATGCTTACTGCCAATGTAACTGTGATTATTCCAAGTTATATTTTAGAATTTCTGATGCTTGTATTACTTTAATCAAATTCAGGCTGCTTGTTTTCCCCTCCGGCATAGGTCGCTCCTACTGCGTTAGAACACAGCGAATGTTGAACCAATGCTTAGAATCTCTAGTTCAAAAAGTACAGAGTGGTGTAGTTATTAATTTTGAAAAAACGGGACCAGATCCACTTCCTGTTGGAGAAGGTATGGTGGATAGCATTTTTTAACCTTAAAGTGTTGTATAGGACGATGATTTGGCATTCGGAATATGTTAAACAAGTCGTAATAGGGATAGTCTTCATTGTCTACCTACATTTGAGTGGTTACAAACATCTATCTAAACAACTATTCTTTTCTTTGCCTATGTGGATTTGTCAGTCAGTTGAATTCTACCAATTTCAATTTTAGTTCAGTATTCCTAAGAAAATTCTTCCTTTCTCCAAATCATTTTATACTTCCCTGTCCCAGTCTTGGGATGACACTGACTCATTCCCTCTCTACTCACAAAATGTCTGGGTATTCCTTACAGTGTGTCACTTACCTAGTAATCTTGTTTTGGGACTGTGAGTACCAGATATGCCAAACTATCTTAATAAAAGTTGTCTTAATTACTACCCTGCAGCAAGAGTATATGAATGCTTTATCCAAGAACTTCAAATGTTCTGTAAGCTTCTATACTAGTATTTTCCTGTTACTTTTTAACTATAGAGCCTTTTACAGTGAGATTTTACAGAATGTCTGATTCTAAGTGGATAAAAGCACAGCTACTTTTGCACCGGGGAAGTGAAAATGAAATGATTTTCCAGATGCTTTGTGATGGACATTTGTGAATACTCTTGTGGATTTTTAAGGGGTCAGGAAACTAAACCACACCGTACTAATGTACTGCAAGAGTTCCTTAGAGCTCTGCTGTTCTTGGTTAGAAGTCCTCCTCATTTCTACCAGTTCCCGCACCTTTATACACATACATACTTATTACCATAGTGCTATCTCCTCTGGTCCATACATTTTAATTGCCCTGGCCAAGACCAACAGGGCCAAACACACATGGCAGAAAGCTACACATTTCTGCTCAGACAGTGAATCCTGCAGTTCCTGATTTTTTTTTTTTTTTTCCGTTTGGCTCCTGAATTTCTTTGAGAAGCTATTAGAAAAATATAAACCCTTTTCCCTAGGGGGAAAAAAAAGATGTAGGCCGCATACAGAATTTTATGCATAATAATTTTAGGGGCTTCTTAGACCCCCTAAGAAAACTTGCCATGAGGCCTGAGACAAGGTTCACTATATGAACTGGGAACTTTCATAGGGAAATTCCTGGGATTTGGAGCCTTACGCAAGAAAATAACTCATCTTTCCTTTCTAGCTCTAGTTCCCCTTTTCTAGAGATCTTAATCTTTCAGATTTTGATGAAAGTGAAAAACTGTTTCCTAAGAAAAATGCACATCCCCAGACCTGTGCATTCAACTTCACAGAACTTCTCCAAAAGCGTCACGTGTTCTCTCCAGAGTCCGATGGTCCTCAGTAAATTTCCTGGGCTAGAGTAATCATTTGTGAAAGTAATACTGAAATAAGTGCAAATGTAAAATTATTTCATTTGCTCAATTAAATTCTTACAAAATAGCTCTAATTAAATTCTTTAAAAATAGCTGTAATGTTTCAGTGTGTTCATGCATCCAGGTCTCAAAATACAAAGTTAGTTTTATAATAGTTTTTCATATAAATATATATTCTCATAGTAGGTTAAGGATGGTGAGGCATATTGAATGAAAGAGCGTTGATTTGGAGAAAAGAATAACTGGAGAGAACATTTAGGAATCCTAGTCGTGTCATTTTTTCCTTCCATTTTTCATGACTCATTGTTTTTTTCTATCTGCCTTTAGCTGGAAAATGTGTACGAGTAGATCAGCAGCTGTAAAAAGAAATTCACGCCCCAGTCTGTCCTTTGTTTAACTTTCAGATGGACTTATGGATTCATCTAGGCCAAGCAATTCATTTGCTGCTCAACCATGGCATAGTTGTCATAAACTCATTTACGTACGGCCTAACTCTAAAACTGGTGTTCCTGTTGGACATTGGCCAATTCCAGAATCATTTTGGCCAGATCAGAATTTACCGTCACTAGTAAGTATCATGAAACAAAAAGGTAAAGACTGTACGGATTTTTAGTTTGCTGATTATAGTGAACCTTTTGAGAGAGGTTTGAGGATTTTGAGATCTCTCTTGTCTTCTCTTACTGTGAGTCTACCTTGTTGCTAAAAGCAAAGAAGGAGGACTTCCTTTACTTTCCAGCGTTTTCACTTTTTCTTTAAGTTGCCTTTTTCCCTTGAACTGCCTTAGATGTTGTCATTATCTGTGACTTGATTTATATCTCAGAGCAGCTGATTTCATTTACTTGGTAAACACAGCACCTAAAAAGGCACTGACATTGGTTTTCATACACAGCCGCAGGAAATTGAAACCTAGTTTACACCTCGTATAGGTTTTAGAAACGTTCAAAACATCTTCAAAGGTCTCCTTCCAAGGGAGTCATAAGATACATGGTGGAACTTGATTAATCCACAACTCACCTTTTTTTAATCAATGTAAACAATGTTTTTTTAAAAAAAATAATCTAGTGAGTCACATACAGCTTGTGTTTGTTTGTTTGTTTTGGTCTTTTTTCTTTTTATCGGTACCGGGGATCGAACTCTAGACTGCCTGCTTGCAAGGCAGGCGCTTATGCCGCTGAGCTAAATCCCCAGCCCCCATACAGCTTATCTTTAAAGGCTCACTTGAGGACTTTTTCTCAGCTCTCAAACATCTTTTAGCTTTTGTAAATGCTAAAGGCAAGTGAATGTGTTTTCGCATTTATAAAGACGCAAAGATACTGTATCATGTATCTATTACCCTTCCAGATCTCCCAGCCCTTTCTGTATTTCTTTCTCTCCTGGTACTCTCCAGTCACAAATTAATCCCAATAAGAAAATGACCTTTTCAGCCCTATCCAAAACATCCCTAGCTTCGGCTATGTAAGACAAGCGTGTAAGTATGAACAACATTGTCTGCCTGGGTGGGACTATGACTAGCTCATCAGTCTCTATCTTGTCCTTTCCATACCTTTACTATTTTGCATCTTACTTGTTAATAGTGTTAGTTCTGCTATACCGCATTAGAAAGATTCGTGGATTTTTCTGCAGCAGCACTTGCGTTATCTATAAACTAGCAGTACAAAGGAATTTCATTCCTTTGTAGGTGATGTAGGGTAGGTGATGTAGGGTAGGGTAGGTGATGCTTGGTGATCACAAAGTGGATCGGAAATTCAGGGTTCATCCTATAGATTATAGTGGCTTCTTAAATATATTCAAAGTACTTTTTCTTTCACTGAAATTCTTTTTATGAATGTTGTAATTTACTTTTCTGGTTCTTAATACTAAGTAGACAGTAGCAATAAAGAATGAGTCCCTTCTTCACAAGAAAGCCATTGGTGATTCCCACAGGTCTAATAACTCCTTCTCAAAGCATTGGTCAGTATCTCAATGATGGTTTAAAAAATATAAAAGAGCTAACAGAGTTATCAGCAATGTAAACTTTGCTACCTGATCATATTTTCTTCTTTTATTTTAGCCACCAAGAACATCTCATCCTGTTGTGAGATTCTCCTGTATAGATTGTGAGCCAATGGTGATAGATAAACTGCCCTTCGACAAATATGAACTTGAACCTTCTCCCTTAACTCAGTATATCTTGGAACGAAAGTCTCCGCATACCTGCTGGCAGGTACTTATTCGTACTTAAAGGCCAAATATCTGTGATCACTCTGGAATCAGGACTTTGTTTTCAGAAGTTGCAAAGGTTAATCTAAAAATACTAGACTGTTTTTCTCCCAAATACCATCAAGTAAGCAACAGGGCCAAGTAAATAAATTTAGACTGATATGAATCATTAGCTAACTATACATTGCCATTTAAGATAATAGAATGTAATATTTATGTATTTGAAGACTTTGGCTTCTGTCTTCCTCAGAGCCTGTCCATGGACTCCAGGTTAGACATGTGTAACTTATTCAAGTGTTGTAGCACACATCTTTAATCCCAGACTCTTGGGAGGCTTACGCAGGAGGATTGCAGGTTTGAGGCCAACCTGGGCAATTTAGTGAAACTCTGTCTTAAAAAAAAAAATAAAATGGGCTGGAGATGTAGCTCCGCATTAGAGCACAACTAGGTTCAATCAAAGGTACCACCACCAAAAAGAAAACCTAACCTAAAAGATATAGATGTGTTCAGGTATTGTTTACGAAGCTGAAGCAAAGCTCTCTGAGCCCTTAGTTTAAACTTGACAGATTGGAAATATAGGCTATTTGGGACAGAAACAATAGTCCTTGAATTCCATCTCTATATTAATATAATGTAATAATACTCTTTTTCCTGCAGTAAACGCCACACTGGTGTATATTGTGGGACTTCACTCAGATGAGACAAATTCACAGATATGTCATACAGTGGCCCTTCCTTATTTTGTGCTGCAGCAGAAAGACTTGCAGAATTGGTTAATGGAATAATCTTCAGGATTTAATTTGTAAAAAAAAATAAACATTGTTGTCGCAGATTTTTTTTTTGCATAGAACAGAAGACTTGCACATTGTATGGATGTTTGTTCTATCTCTAAACTACCAAACCATATAGCAATTAGTAATTGTTAGGTTCTATTTATGCAAGGAACACTTTCAGACTTCCATCTGTTTCGTCCTAAAATTCAAGATTATTGCTACTCACCGTCTGTAAGCTACTTTACTTCCCCCCAAGATGCTAAAAGGAGTTAGAAAAAAAGAGTTAGGAAAAAGGCATGAATCAAGGATGTAAAAGGGCAAGACACATACCATTCTCAAAAGTATAATGTTGAGAAAAAGAAGACAGACAGGATAAATTACTGTGCTTACTGTACAATGGCACTTTACATCCGCTCAAAGAGACGTAAAACTGACTAATTCTGTTAACAGTCAGGTTAGTTATTCTTATTGGGGGCTGCAGGTTAGTGGCCAGTAAAGATAGAAGGGTATTTACCAAAAAACGCTAGAAATCTAGAGATGTGGGTAACAGAATGCTAACATAAAGTAAAGCTATAAGATTTGAATGTATGGGTTGAAAAGCTTTTTTGTAATGAAAGCAAATAAAATTATAAATTATACATTTTCCTAAAAATAAAAATTTTTTATATATAGTACATTCCTTATAAATGTTCTTCAAAGAAACTTAAGAAATCCTATCTTTACTATCGCATGACTCCTCAAATATAAGGCCTTTTGTTCAGACCTTATATTATCTAAATGTACTTTAATGCGAGATATATATATATATATATATATATATATATATATAGTGTGTGTGTGTGTGTGTGTGTGTGTATTTGAGACAGGGTCTCACTCTGTAGCTCACTCTGGCCTAGAACTCATGGTGTTCCTCCTGCCTCAGCCTCCTAAGTGTGGAGGTTACAGGTTTGTGCCATAACTCATAGCCACTAATGTGATAAATTATTGAAAATAAGAAAAGAATAAAATGAGGGGCTAGGGGTTTAGCTCAGTGGCATAAGCACCTGCCTGGCAAGCGCAAGGTCGTGAGTTCCATCCTTAGTACAAAAAAAAAGAATAAAATGAACCAAACACCAGGCAGTTTGGCAGGCCAATAATGGAGTTTAGGTTCAAACCGTAGCTCTGCCACAAAATATCTTGCCTTGTACTGGACACTTACTTTCTCTGGACTATACAGCCTCTAATTATTACTTGGAGTCCCCCCAAAATCTATCAGCTTGTGGGTAATACGAAATTTAGAAAAATTTAAGAGGTTTATGCAAAGGAAAAAAAGAAGGGAGGAAGTAAGGATGGGTGAGAAGCAAAAAGAAAAAAAGTGCTTTTCTTTTCCCAGGAATTCTAGATCTGATTCCTAGAATTAAATATATACTTTTTATATTTTATGATAGCCTTTTTTACTCTTCTAATCCATACACTTAGGAAATAAAATTCAGCATGTTTTATTACTGTTACCTGTTTATATTGACACGAAGACTGCACCATGAAATCTAGCAGAATTGTGTTTCAGCATAACCCATGATTTGCAAGATTGTGAACTCATAAATAGAGGCTATTAAGCATCAGGGTTCAAATTTTGTCACAAATAATCCTACCAAAGGACTTTGGAAAAGTAAAGGTGTAGGTCTCTAACAGAAAATACTGGTATCCTGAGTCAGAATCAGAGTCATATCTGGCATGGTGGTGCATGCCTGCACTAGGGAGGCTGAGGCAGAGAAATTGCTATGATTTCAACCCGACCTGGTCACATAGTGAGTTCTAGGCCAGCCTGAATGGCGAACTACATAACAAGACATTGAAAAAAACAAACATGGTGCTTGCTTTGGCAGCACATACACTAAAGAAGGAATGATAAAGAGGCCCCTGCACAAGGAAGACACACATTTCTGAAGAGTTCCATGTGCTTTGATAAATTTTAGTGTTTTGTAGCAAAATGGATGTTCCTTAAGACTATAATGTTTAATAAAAGAATCACACAGAAAAGCTTGAATATCATATGGTTTCTCTTGTATGAGAAGCCAAAATTATGAATAATTTGAAGAGGAAAATAAAAAAGGGAGTAGTTCTTTTGCAAATGGGAAGAGGATTTTAAAGATGAAGTGGGAAATAGAGAGGAGGGGAAGGGAAAGTAAAAAGGACTAAGATGTGGTACATACTTGAACTAACTTCCCAGGATGAATGTATTCCTTATGTATCTCAAACATGTACTAATAAAATAGTCTGAACATGGAATACACAGTAAACGTGACAGCTAGAGAAATATCTACATGGTCTGAAAACACAGTCCAAATCATGTTAGAAACATCAATAAGGAATAAAAAGACACGCATATTGAGTTAAGATTAATGTTTTAATCTTAATTGAATATTTGCTGTAACATCCAGAGAAAATACCTTCCACATTCTACCAAAACATCTCCTTGTTGCCTCAAAATAATTTTCAATAGTGCTTGCCTTGTAATAGTTACTCAATAAATATTTAATTAAGTGAAAAATGGACAAATGTGTAGGGGAATGGGACAGCAAAGAGAAATAGAGCACTGTTTATATAATCATTTGATTGACTACATTTTTCATAATTGTGTGTTTTAGACAGGGAATCATGTTTCCTTTTCCTAAAAGTCTACTCAAATCATCACTTATTCTTTCTTTTCTTCTTATTTTTTAGAAATTCATTTGTTTTAAGGGCTGGTATCACTTAATGGTATTTTAGCTTTAGTTTCCATTGTGCTAACCAAGTAAATATTTGGGGCACTTTTGACGCAGCCTATGATCCCTGAGTTGCACTATATAATTTCATTTCTTGCATGTATAGTATTACATTGTATAGTTTCATTTCATAATGAAATTTATGTAAAATTGCAATCTGAACATTTAAATTTAGTATGATGTATTTTGACATAAACGTAGGCTAAAAACACCATTCCTATTTTAAATTACAAGTAAATTGTGCCACAGATGTTACTATGGAACATTGCCATGAGTTTAGTTTTACATAAGCCATTACTGCCATAACTGCCACTACTTCATATTCTTCACAGGTATTTGTTACTAGTAGTGGAAAATATAATGAACTTGGATATCCATTCGGTTATTTAAAAGCCAGTACAACTTTAACTTGTGTAAACCTCTTTGTGATGCCTTACAACTACCCAGTTTTACTTCCTCTTTTAGGTAAGTAAAATATGTGCTATTTAATTATCTGTAAAATATAACAAAAGCAAAAGTAGATAACAGATTAAGCATTTTAAATGTGCCAAAGAAAAATGAATGACAAAATAGAGAAAAATGTAAAAACTGCTTTGAAAGGGCAGAGTTTGCGTGCTACATGTATTGTTTTTATTGTTTGTACATCAAAGACAAGAGATACTTGACGTCTGGCGTGACGTCTGGCGTGTGTTTTTACTGTTGTTCCCTAGGTTGCAAGCTCCAATGAGCACCCTCTCCCCATTTTGAAGTGCACTTGGCATTTCTGTACACTAATTGGGTACAGAAAACTTGGGGTTTTGTTAGGGATAACCCTAATCCTAACCTTCCAGGAGCTGGATAGTTCCTTAAGAAAATGCAGCTTCATTAGAGTGTGATTAGCATAAAAAGACTGTGTACAACTTGGTGAGTTTGGAGCTGAGTACACATCCATGAAACTATCACCATAATTTATGTCATAAATGTATCCATCACCTCTGAAAGTCTTATCTTCTTTTGTACTGTTATTAAAATAAGAACATTTACCCTGTGATCTCTCCACTTGGTAATTTTTAAAGATACAAATAATGTATGTAACTATCATGCTAAGTGAAATAAACCAGACACAGAATGAGAAACACTGCATGTTATCACTTACACACTTTTTACTTGGTGATAATTGTAGATTCATGTGTAGTTGTAAGAAATAATAGAGATGACACCAAAAACATAGGTAATGAACACAAATTAAAAAGTGGGATGAAGTCAGACTTATAAACTCATGTGTTTTAAAGAATACAGTCAATAACATGCAAAAAACGAATAGAATGGAAAAATATAAGCTCAGCGGCATAAGCACCTGTCTTGCAAGCAGGCGGTTGTGAGTTCTATCCCCTACTAAAGCATGATTAAAAAAAAATCATGTATGTCAGAAGGGATTAGCATCAGACTATCTAAAGAACTCTTAAAATTCAGCAGAGAGATTGGACAGCCCAATTACAAAACAGGCAAAGGATTTGAATAGATATTTCTCCAAAGAATATGCACACATGGCTCACAAGCATATGAAAAGATACTCAAATCACTAATCATAGCCAATATAAATTGAAAGTACAGTGGAATATTACTTGTACCCATTAGAATGACTACTATCAAAAAATAGCAAATGTTGGTGAGAATGTGGAGAAATTGGAATCTTTGTGCACTGTGACTGGGAATGTAAAATGGTGCAGCTACTATGGAAAACAGTATACAGAATCTTCAGAATATTACAAATAGAATTACCAGCTGGACATAGTGAACACATTTGTAATTCCAGCACTTGGGAAACTGGGGCAGGAGAATCACCAGGAGTTTGAAGCCAGTCTGGGCTACATAGTGGGTTTGAGGCTATCCTGAACTAAATAGCAAAGCCCTGTCTCAAAAAAAAAATTATCATGTGATCCAAAAATAGCATTCCTGGGTATATATTTATTCAACATCCAGGTTGTTGAAGATATAATTGTTCATCTACATTCACCACCGTATTGGGTATTTTCAGTCTGTCGTTGGAATCTGTGGATGTGAAAGCTAGATAAAAAAATGAAAAATTTGGGAAGTAGACTGTACCTAATTGATGGTTATATTATTATTATTTAAAAATTTGATAAAAATTTTTCAGTGAAATTCTTAGTCTGAAGATCTCTTTGGGGAGTTTTAAAATTGTTCATCCAATTCCTGTCATAGTTCTAGGGTTACTCAAATCATGATTTGATTTTGTTGATCATGCTTATTAATACTTTTGATGAATTTGGTCTGTTTCATCTAAGTTGTCAAAATTTATGTATATGGAGTTACTCCTAGCAATTCTTTATTGTCCTTTTGATGGATGCAGGGTCTACAGGGATACTGCTTATTTCATTCCTGCAAATGACAACATGGGTTTTATGTCTTCTTTTCCTCTTTGTAAACCTTGTTAGAGATTTGACCACTTTTATTATCTTGTCAACAAAACAGAACTTTGCTTAATTAATTTATCAATTATTTTTCTTTTTTAAATTCTCATGGATTTCTTTATTATTTTTTCTCCTTATCTTGGGCTTCTTTTGCTTTATTTATTTATTTTATTTTGAGGATTGTTATCTTAGCTTGTTGCTTATGTTATTGGTGTGAAACCTTTCCTTTTTATTTAATTATCAGGATTTAGTGTCATAAATTTCCTTCAGCATGGATATAGCTGCTTCCTATAGTATTTTACATTTTATGTTTCATTTTCATTCACTTCTAAGTATCTTTTACTATCTCTTACAACTTCCTCTTTGAACCATATATTATTTAGAAGTATATCATTTATCCAAGTATTTTGAAATTTACCCATTAACTTTTCTGTTCCCAGTTCCTATTCCTAGGTTTTATTATAATCAGAGAATATATTTTGAATGATATCCATTCTTATAAAAATTTCACATTTTATGACCCAGGATATGATATATCTTGTATATGTTCCATCCCTGCTTGAGAACAAAGTATAGTGTCCACTTTTGGGGTGAAATATTATAAATCATTCCTATTGCTTAATGTTATGCTACCTCTTTGCTGATTTTCTATAATTTTTTTGTCTTTTTCGTTTTTATTGGTACCAGGGATCGAACTCACGACTGCCTGCTTGCAAGGCAGGCGCTTATGCTGCTGAGCTAAATCCCCAGCCCGATTTTCTATAAATTGTTGAGAAAAATATGCAATCTCCAGCTATAATTGTGGATTTGTCTATTTTTCTTTCAGGCCCATCATTTTTTGCTTCACAACTTTTACACGTTGTGATTTGATGCATTAGGATTGATTGTATTCACCCTTGGATTCATTTTACATAATTTATCTCTGCTATTTTCTTTCTCTCAACTTAGCTCTATCTGATAGTATTATAGCTACTTCTGCTTTTCTTTAATGTTTGAATGATATATCATTTCCCCTCAGTTTAACTTCCCTATAATTAAGTTTCAAGTGAGATTCTTATACACAACACATTTCCAGTTTGTTTTTTAATGTATTCTGCCAATCTTGGCCTTTCAGTTGGTATATTTAGGCATCTATGTTTTTAATGTAATTACTGTTCAAATAGGGCGTAAGTCTCATTTATATTTTTACTTTCACTTTTTTCTCCCTGCTTTTCATTTCCCTAGCTTGTTTTTAGCTATTTAAAAAAATTATGAAGATTTTATTTTCATATATGTTACATGTTTTAGGTGATCTTTCTGGAGAGATTTTTAAGGGGTTATTGTAGATGTATCATAGATGTGTCCATAATTCATGCAGTCAACTAGTGTCATTATTTTATTAATTTGAGTGAGATATAGAATTTTATTAATTTGAGTGAGATATAGAAATTTTACATTCTTTTACAATTTTCTCTTTTTAAAATTTTAATTTTAAAGAGACAAAACAGCAACAACAAAAATGGTATAGTATTTCAAAACAAGATGGTAGAAAATTAACAATAGTTATTATATTGCATGTTGTTATTTTTTTTCTAGTAAAAACTCAGACTTTTTTTTTTTTTTTTTTTTTTTTTTGTGCGGTACCTGAGATCAAACTCAAGACCTTGTTCTTGCCAGGCAGGCGCTTATGCCACTGAGCTAAATCCCTGGTCCCTCATGTTGTTATTTTAAATAATAGTCCCTCAGATTACCAGATATAGGCATGCAAAATTGATCAAATAGTATAAGCACCAACTGTTCCTTTCCAGAACTATTAGAATTAATAGTACAATTACCTTAGCTATCTTCTCTATGTGTATTTACCTCCTTCCTTCTTCTCTGCTTTTCTTTTTCCCAGTTGTTCTTTCTTATTCAGCCGCTTCATCCCTTTCACAATATCTATCACATATTTTGGCTCTTATTTACTCTTTCAGTTTCTCTTACACTAGGGAGACAATGTAATGTTCGGCCATGCAAGTCTGATTTATTTTGCTTGTGAGTATTGTCTTTAGTTGCATTCATTTACCTATAAAAGTCTCAAGTTTATCTTTCTTTATAGATGAGTAGTACTCCATTGTATAAAAATACCACATTTTTTTATCCATTCTTCAGTCAATGGGCATTTGAGTTGTTGCCAAGTTTTAGTTATTACAAATTGTGTTGCTATAAATATGGGTGCACATATATCACAGTGATAGATTTTTTTATTGGTTGATTTTTTTGATGATAGCTATTCTTTCTGGTGTGAGATGGAATCTCAGTATTGCTTTAATTTGCCTTTCTCAAATGATCAATGATGTTAAACATCTTTTCATATATTTGTTTGCCATTTGTATTTCATCATATGAGAAGTCTGTATTCATCTCACATGCCTATTTTTGTATTGAGTCTTTGAATTTTGGGGGCCTGAATTTTTATATGTTGCAAATAGAAGTTATTTGTCTAATTGTTGACTAAAACTTTTTCCCAATTTGTGGGTTATTTTTTCAGCCTGTTGATTTCTTTTGATGTGCAAAATTTTTTTAATAAGATGAGATCCATTGATGAGATCCATTGCTGATTCTTTGAAGTATTTCCCATGCAGTTGGTTTTTGTTCATGAACTCTGCTTACTCCTATGTCTTCAAGATTTATACCTGTCTCATCTTCCAGAGGCATTACTGCTTCTGTTTTAATATGTAGATCTTTGATCCATTTTGATTTTAGTTTAGTGCTTGGTGACAGACACAGGCCTAGTTTAAGTCTTCAGGATATGGAAAGCCAGTTTTGCCAGCACCATTTATTAAAGAGGCTATCTTTCTTCTAGTGAACATATTTGGCTCCTTTGTCAAACATAATGTGGCTGAGTGTGTTTGTAGTTGTGTCTACATCTTCTGTCCTGTTCCACTCCTTTTTGAGTTAAATGTGTTTCTTCTATACAGCATGTTGTTGGATTTTGTTTCTTCATCTATTCTGCCAGTCAGTTTCTTTTGATTGTTGAACTAAGGCCATTTGCATTAAGGGTTATAACTGATATGTATTGGTTTATCTTTGTAAT